GGGCCCCTTCCCGGCGCGGGTCCCGCTCGCTCCGCGCGAGGGAAGGTCAGGGCCACGACTCCCCTTCCTGTGCCCACGTGGACACCCAGGCAGTTTACACGGAGGCGAGGTAGGGAGGGCAGGCGGGCAACAAGCTGCTTTTGGTCCCCTTGCCAGTTGGAGCGCCATCCGGTCCCCTTGCCCCTCCCCCCTTTCCTGGGGAGAAGGAATGGACTCAGCCCCGTCACTGCCCCTGTGTAGAAGGGACCCCTCCTCCCCCCAGTGCCAGTGGGGTGGGGCCAGTACTCACGGCTGGGGGGCTAGAGAGGGAGGGGATTGGGGGAGAACCTCTGGATGGGCCTCTGCCCCCAGTGGGGTTTGGGTGCCAGTGGCCCCCAAACTGCTGAGGGTCCAGGTTCCCTCTGTCTGCCCCCTGGGCTCACGCACTTACCCCGCTCCACCTGTTGCTGGGGTCGCCTCATTTCTGCACATCACTTTGGGGTGGCTGAGGGGGGACCACAAACCCCTCCGAGCCTCTCTTTGTGGTTCCAGCGAGGCGGTCATCCTTCACTTCTTTTTCCAGCTTTCGGGAAGCAGTTAGGGAATGTATGACGGAGCAGAAATGAGCCGTCAGGATGATATTTTAATGGCTTATATGTCACGTTGGTGCATGTGGCTTTGAACTGGAGCCGCTTTCGCTTCCTGCAGAGAGCGCCGCAAATCCCACTTGATAACTTCTACAACCCACAACTTTTTTATCTCCCCCCGTACACTCACTCTTACCCTGTATATTTGGACGCATTTCCTAAAAAGACTCTCTTGTCAGCGTCCCCTTTGGATTTTCCAGGACTGGAGAGGAGAAGACTGACTTTTCTTTTTTGAAGAATTATTTTTGCTCTCCCCTCCCAATGGCTACCCTTCCCCCGAATGTCCCCTCCCTTGTTTTTTTTTGAAAGGCAGGAGAGGTGGGTTCACTGTTAGTTCTTCCTGGTGATAGCAGTCCCACCTCTATGGAAAACTTGCAGATAAGGCTCCTACAACTGCATTGGTGTCAGGATCCAACCTCCCCTTGCAGGCAGCACAACACACTTTGTTCAAAACAGATATGTTGGAGGCCCTCGAAGTGTATGCTTTTTTTTTTTTTAACACCCCTCAAGCCCGAGCCCTCCCCCCCATTGCCCACCCCAGCCCAGTCGAGCCGGTCTGGAATGCTGGGCCGCTGCACTCAGACTTGTTGCTGGGGACAGAATATCTGAATTTTTTTTTCTTTCTCAAATTTCTATTTCCCAGCCTAAGCACAAACGCTCGGCCAGGTCTCTTCAGACACCGGGAAACCATCCCAGTTGCACAAGTCGGGGTCGG